GGGGTGGAGCGGGCAGGTCGGGGCACAGCAACTCTCGGGTCAACCTGAGGGGCGATATCTCGAGCCATCTCCCGGTAGAAGACGGGGGGAGAGTGGGGCGCCGCGGCGAGGGCGGTCTCTCGAGAGGGGGGGAGGCAGGCAAGACGCGCCGCCGCCCCCCACCCCACCACCACCACCACCACCACCACCACACACACACACACACGTCGCCCCGCCCCTGCCCGCCCCTCCCCCGCCCTGCCGCCAGGCGGAGAGACTGAGTTGTCGGGAGCTGCTTACGCGCGGGGCGACAGCCGGCGCACTGCGAGCTCGGCTGGCGGCCGCGCCGCACGAGGCGAGATCACCCGAGATCACCCGAGATCACCCGAGATCCGCCGAAAAATTCGCCGACGGCTCCTCTCGGCTCCTCTCGGCTCCTCTCGGCTCCTCTCGGCTCCTCTCGGCTCCTCTCCAGTGCCTCTCCGGTGCCTCGTGCGCCTCTCCGGTGCCTCTCCGGTGCCTCTCCGGTGCCTCTCCAGTGCCTCTCCGGTGCCTCTCCGGTGCCTGTCCGGTGCTCTCCGGTCACCTCGGCTGCCTCTCCCCAGGCGCGAGAGGAGTGGCCGGGCGGGAGGGGCTGGATCGCGCTGCACCACGCGGCAGCCAAGGCGGGTGCGGCGGAGGCGCGCCGCCGTCCTGCGTGCGGGCGGAACTGCAGTCGTCGCCGGCTCGCTCCGGGTCACCTCGCCCCCCCCCCCCCCCCCTCTCCTCCCCCCTGCAGGTGCGTGTGCTGCTTGGCGAGCACCGCGGCGGCCCCGCCAAGAGCGACAAGCTCGGCAGGCTGCCGCTGCACTTGGCCTACACACTTGGCCTAGACACGTCCTAGACACTTCCTCGACAAGCCTGGCAGGCTGCCGCTGCACTTGGCCTACACACTTGGCCTAGACACGTCCTAGACACTTCCTCGACAAGCCTGGCAGGCTGCCGCTGCACTTGGCCTACACACTTGGCCTAGACACGTCCTAGACACTTCCTCGACAAGCCTGGCAGGCTGCCGCTGCACTTGGCCTACACACTTGGCCTAGACACGTCCTAGACACTTCCTCGACAAGCCTGGCAGGCTGCCGCTGCACTTGGCCTACACACACTTGGCCTAGACACGTCCTAGACACTTCCTCGACAAGCCTGGCAGGCTGCCGCTGCACTTGGCCTACACACTTGGCC